TCTCTGAGACACCGTTCACACTGAGCGATTTATCGCGCAATTTCAGCTCCAAAATCGCTCAAATATCAGCTCAATGTCGCTCAATGTAGCTTGTCCAATGCATTTCAATGGAGCTGTTCACATCTCACAGCTCAATGTCGCCTGTAGCTCGTCGCCCGAGCTTGTAGCTTGAACAAGACTTATTTTTCGTCGTATTTTGTGCGATTTGGCCCAATAGACTTTAACGGTGTACCTCACTGTCGCACTACGTCGCGCTACAGAAGTGTACGCATTATTGAAGGCAAAAGGTGGCCCAACGAAGTACTGATGGGGTGGTCATAATAATCTGGCCAATCAGTATATATAACAAAACAATGTCAATGGTAGGTTTAACAGACCACGTTGGTGTTCAGTATAGTGTCCCCTCATGTTGGTGTTCAGTATAGGGTCCCCTCAAGTTGGTGTCCAGTATAGTGTCCCCTCATGTCGGTGTTCAGTATAGTGTCCCCTTACATTGGTGTTCCATGTAACCAGAACATACTGTAAATGCACCATTACTCAAAGAACCCCTAGCAACTTCTAGGGGAACACTAAGGTTCCAAAGAAACCTGGTAGACACAGGCTGGTGTACACTGAACTTTGCTTGGGAGACCAGGGATCTGACACACTCAGAAGTGTTAAGGATGCAGAAGATCCTATAAATAGCATATCTCTTCGAGAAAACAAACTAAGACCACCGCAGCCGGGACGGATCCAGACATTAATGTTGAGATCCACCCAGCTGCGTGATTGAAAGCTGGCTCTGCTTATCTAGAGGCAGAGCCAGCTGTACCCGCCCCTTCCCCCGTCCATCCCACCAGTCAGCGCTGGAGAATCGGACAGGGGAGGGGGGAATCCCTGCAGGGAGCCGTGAGTGACAGTCACCACAGGGACAGGATCGAGAAGTGAGCGAGCGACGGTATGTGTTCCCTCACCTCCCGATCTACTGAGCCGACCTGTGACAGTTTCATTGTCACAGGTCGGCTAGAACTATGAGGATGAGTGATTTTCACTCACCTCATTAGTTCTCCTTTAGATATGGGAATAGAAATTAGATTTTGCAATGGCTGCCTCACCCCTGTGATTATTACTAGAAGAAGCTCCTAAAAGATTAATATTCCTGCAGTCTGTAGCATTTTTAGTGCTAGTTTAGTAAAGGTCGGGGATGCGAATAAGGAATTGGAGTAAATATAGACTACTTTATTCCCTTGTACATTACACCCAATTCTCTGAACATTTTTAAGCAATGTATTAATTTCGGGTGTACAAAATAAATAAATAAATACATCTTCAAACAAAGGCACATTTCAAGCACTAGGGCTGCAACAAACTAATTAATAATAATCGATTATGAGAATAGTTGTCAACTATTCTCATTGTCAATTAGTTGGTTGGATGGGGGAAATGGAGGGAGGAGTAGAGGGAGGGAAAATAATCGGGTAACTAATCGATTATGAAAATAATCGTTAGCTGCAGCCCTACTAAGCACACAGACACAACTATACAGGCATACCAGCATACATTGGCCAGAGATGTATAGCTAAACATAGAGCCATGTAACATCTCAGAACCACCAAGGAGGCATCATTATAGGATTCTACCTTTCCAAAAAGTCACTTTGTTAAATGTCTGCCCTGCTAGGGCTGCCCCACCAACAGGATCTATAACATTTAGAACTGCAGTTGGATCTTGTTCGAATGCCATCACAAGCAGTTGAAGTACATCTTTTTGGGTAGGCTGGAAATGGGCAGGTGGCACTAAAAAATATAACGTTGCAAGCTCCTATTTAGAAGTGTCGCCCGACTGGGAATATAGTATGGCCAGAAGTATGAGAGTTACAAGGCAGCTCCACTAATGTTGGCATTTAGCTGTGTTTCTGTTTGTCTGGAGTCGCACTTTAACATCCTGCCCTGCAAAAAGTGATTTGTGGGGTAATGATAGGAGTGCCCGCATATGGACTATGCAGAGGTAATTAGCCCTTGGCAAGCTGTTTCCCAGAGCCAGACGGAAAGCCAGGACACTTCACACATACACGATATCATCCCATGCATGACGTTTTATGGAGCGCACATTAATAACCTAACATTTTCTGCACGACACGATTATCTATCCGCAGACTCAATTTATGCTTCAAATTGTTAGAGGCAAAACAAGCAATTTAACAAAGAAAGCGCCTTCTCTCTGTACTCTCGCTTGCAGAATAAGAGGGCGAAAAAAACAAAAGCATTCCTCTCTGCATTGGAAGGAGGAGGATATGGTGGATGTACAGTGTCCTCTGCTGGAAGGTTGGAGGAATACCGAGGGGGAGAGGAACCATTTCCACCTAGCAACAAGCTGTCTGTTTACCGATACAGACCCGCCATCTCCCTATAGGAAGCTCATGGCAGGCACTGCACATCATGCCCTTTGCAATCGCTGACACAAAGCAGTAATTGGATTTAGTGTAGTCTGCGATATGTACATAGACAAATAATTCCAGGAGGGAAATGGACGGAGGAAGTTACAGCTGGAGGCTTACTTTATTTCAGGACGCGGCAGAATTATAACAAGTGGAAAATGTTTCATATTCTGAACTTCCAGCTGGCCTCTTAAATGCAGCTATGAAGAAAACCCGTTCCCCACCCAAATTCCCCAATGCAGACCTCCGAGCTTCCACTGACCTCGACAGAGAATAATGGCCGTCCAGGAGAAAGCATTGAGCTCAGTATGAGTACAACCATTATAAGCTTTGGCTGGGCTTGGAATATGCAGGTGGGCATGGGGTATGGACCAGCACAAGATCCAAACAGTACCGGGATCTGGACATTTAGAGAGAAACTGAACCTGAGGTCTGATCAGGAGGATGAGGGAGGTGAAGGGGAAAGGTTTTCATCAATTGCAGATACACTTTAAGTATCCGACATAGAGCTCTGTATCACCATTCCTACCGGGAAAACGTTTTGGCCAGCAGTAAACTAGGCGGAAGTTGATAAGGAATCTTATGACTTGCTTAATAACTTGCTTCTGTTTAACTAGGGTATATCTAAGCTATAAAACATCTCTCTTGGACTCATTCTCTGCCCACTTCCCTCGGCCATGTCCTCTTCCTGCACTCATTATGTTTTCTGCTGTAACTACATACTGTTCCTTCCCCTCCTGTTCTCTGCCCACTTCTCCCAACTGAATGCATTCTCTGTATCCTCCTTTCCTGTTCTCTGCCCACTTCTCTCTGCTCCACCCATTCTCTACATCCTCCTCTCCTGTTCTCTGCCCACTTCTCTCTGCTGCACCCATTCTCTGCCCACTTCTCCCTACTGAATGCATTCTCTGTATCCTCCTTTCCTGTTCTCTGCTCCACCCATTCTCTACATCCTCCTTTCCCGTTCTCTGCCCACTTCTCTCTGCTCCACCCATTCTCTGTATCCTCCTTTCCTGTTCTCTGCCCACTTCTCTCTGCTCCACCCATTCTCTGTATCCTCCTTTCCTGTTCTCTGCCCACTTCTCTCTGCTGCACCCATTCTCTGCATCCTCCTTTCCTGTTCTCTGCCCACTTATCTCTGCTCCACCCATTCTCTACATCCTCCTTTCCTGTTCTCTGCCCACTTCTCTCTGCTCCACCCATTCTCTGCATCCTCCTTTCCTGTTCTCTGCCCACTTTTCTCTGCTGCACCCATTCTCTGCATCCTCCTCTCCTGTTCTCTGCCCACTTCTATTGCATGCATTCTCTGTATGCTCCCCTCCTGTTCTCTTCCTACTTCTCTCTGACGCACCCATCATTTTCTGCCCCTTGCCGTCTTGTTTTATGCCGACTTCTCTCTACTGAGTCAATTTTTTCGGCATTCTCCTATTCTGTTATCTGTCTACTTGTTCTTTTTTTGCACTCTGCCCACTACGCTCCAGCTTTCTGTCTGCTTCTTTGTGCTGTACCCTACCTCTTTCTGTACACTACCCACCTACTCTCTATCTAGTTCAACACTCTGTCACTCAAATGTCTTTCTGTGTTCCTCCACATTCAGTTTTTCTTCCTTCCCTACAGTTATCCTCCTCTCCCGTTTTATATTCTACCCTACTCCCTGCACTCCGTCTCTTTCACCTTTCCACTCTACCTCTGTACCCATCCCATTCCACACTTGTTGCGAGTCCCTTCCCTTTCTGTTCTCTGGCCTGACAATCTGCTAAATCTCATTTTTAGATGTGCAATCTGCTAAACAGTTGCTTGATTACACTCTGGGCCCTCGTTCACACCTGAACGTTTTGTAGCGCGTTCTACGCTTGACGAACGCTCTACAAAACGCTCAAAAATATAAATCCCATTGAATTCAATGGTCTCGTTCCCACCTTGGCGTATTTCCGCCCGTCCCTAGCGCGCTACAAAACGGCCCACGCCTGAAAAGGTACAGGTACTACTTTGGGCCGTTTTGTTGCGCGTTTCCATTGGGATACAGCCAAGTAGCCTTCAGAAATGCGCAACGGTCGCGCGACTTTTTTTTACCGCGAATCGCGGTAAAAAGACGCGCATATGCAATACGCCTAGGTGTGAACGAGACCGTAGAGTGTAGTCAAGCAACTGATCAGTAGATTGCACAGCTAAAGTCTGCAGCACCAAGTGGCCAGCAGGCAGGCATGTCTAAAGGGATGTCGGGGATGTGTTCTTTTATATAGCACTCAAAGCAGGGTGCTGTGATGTTTACAGAAGCCTTCCAGCCACTCCCACCAAACTCCACCATGCTATGGAGCAAAGGTCAGCAGGAAGATTCGGCGATGATGTCAATGGGCCTCGAAAGAGGTATCTCTTTAAGACAAAATTTAATTGAAGGTTTGCTTTAAAAATTTCAACTGCATGCTGAACCTTCATTGCTGACGAAATTCAGTAAAGCATCTCCCTCCTGCGTCCCCGGGTTATAATCATCATGCATACACAGGTCCTTTATAAACATTCCACAGCAGCGTACCATCTCTGCTCTGCTACAAGCAGAAGAAACATGTGAAAACGAATCACAGACCTGTTTTGGTTAACAAGAGATTGTCCAGATGTCGGTCTCCTACTCCGAGGATGTAAGTGATGACGCAGTATCCCGCTGCAAGGAAGAATATCGTGTAATGAGACAATGACTGCGTCCATTAACAAGCCACAGAAATGACAGGGTAGGCATTTACAGAAGGCACAACAATCCCTGATCAGTACAATACCGCTTTTCTCTGCTCTCCTACTCATCTCACAAGAACTGGCACACTCCATGCGTCACCTTTTACTTTAAGTAGAACCTGTCCTTAAAGCTGAACTCCGGGCTTAACAAATCTCATCTCAGTACCATGTGAATTCTTACTTGATTCTTGTATTCCTCCCAGAACTGTGCAATCGTGGAGGCTCAGCATCACATGTGGGCGTTACCTAGGGTGGTCTGCATGCAAATGCAGTCTGACCAAACACCCTCTACTCCAGACTGACATCCACCCATCAATTGACTAAAAACACAAAGCGCACAGCTCACCCCTATTATGCATGCTTGCAATCCACACTCGGTGCACGGATGACTCTCTTCTGGAGTGATAGGCTCAAAAACTATAGAACTCAGCATACGGTGATCTTCCAAAGAAATTCAAACTTTATTCCACATTCATCTATACAAAGAACAAATGCTGACGCGTTTCTGTCTTACTCCGCCTTAGTCATAGCGGGACATTTTGATTTTGGCATGACTCCTTACAAGTGCCAGCCCACTGCTTGCATCAGGGCTGAGAGCACTGGAGAGGAGTATTGATGTGCAGGGGGGCTTGGTGCAAACCCAGTTTTCCAGAGTTCGCCCAAGCCCATGCAAAATTGTCACTGATACCCCCCTGTCCCAATCAGTTGCGGCAGGGGCATTCCCCACCTCTTTATGACATGCAGCTGTGGCGTAGGGAATGCCCTGGCTGCAACTGAATGGGCCAGCAGGGGTGTGGCTCAAAGCAGAAATGTAAAAATTGCTCTGGTCCACAGGGGGGCATAGAAGTGTAAATTCAGAAGTGGTTAAATTAAGCAATGCCGGGCAAATTAACAAGATCACTTAACTTTTGCCCTATTTAGCTACATATAGTCACCTTCTTTTCTCTTCCCAGTTGCTCCTCTCAGCTTTCAGGATGTAAGAGAAGACGACTTGCTGAGTACTCTAATGCAGATTGCATAGGGACCGTTTCAGGGCCACATAAGGTCCCTTCCTCAGGACGACTATGTCCTCACAGTACTATGTCGCCCTGAGGAAGGGACCCTACGTGGCCCTGAAACGTTGGCCATGTAGGACATACGGTGACGGTCATAAAGCGGCAGGTTAGGAAGTCATATGTGCCCAATACATTTAAGTAACAAGTCTTTATCTTCTCTCTGTTCCCATTGGCCGAACACACTAGTGAGGGAGCGTAGAGAAGGTGAATATGTGAGGCTGGGGACGGGTGGCAGTTAAGTAAACCCATTTGGATGGACAAAGCACAGGTTCACTTAGTGCTCCACCTTTTACTGATGCAAAATCCACTCCAATTCCCCTGCTAAGAAATGACAAAACCTCTACTGCCGACTGAGATTCTAGCTTTTGACAGACAATGATGAGGCTTTGAATGGGAGAGGCAGAGCCTAACCTTGACTTGGGCAGAATTCAAGCCTGGTCCCAGGATTCCAGGACTTTGGTCAGAGAGATTCAGTCACCCTTGAAGATCTAAGGGCCACAGGTACTTGCCAGCACCAAAGGCAGCTGAATGCCAGCATCATTGTTAGTGTTTTAGGCCAGGTCAGGTGCACCGCCTTTATTTTCAAACATTTGCATTGTAAAGGAACACGCATTTCCGCTGTGAAATGTTATCAAACTTACCGCAACTTTTTACATACGTGTCCATGACCTCTGCACTTATCCCATAAGGCCCTTTATCACTCGGAGCATGTTTCCTGAAAAAGTTCTGCAAAACAACAAAAAAGGGGGTCAACTGAGAGGTTACACTGGTAGAAAATTAAACACAGGAACACACAGACAGCAATAAAAAAACACCATCAGACATTCTAAACCCCATTCAAAATGTCCCCAATAGAGTCACAGACAGCAATTAAAACTTTGACAGAGGCTCTGAATCTTGTCTGCTCTATCCAAAATGAAGTAGAATGGTTGGTTGTAGTTGAGCTTTAACATATCGTTACAGTGGGATTGGATGAAGAGGGCTGACATGCTTTTTTTACAAAGATTCTCATATTGATGCAAAAGAATCACGTCCTAGTCAATGAGAGTCCAATTACAGGAAGTCAATGGGCCCCCAATCAAAATGGTCACAATGACCTGGTGACAGTTGTCTGATTTATATCCGTGGGTCCTCCTTGGTGATACCAACTGGCCACTGTTGGCAGGAACAATCCATCGGGCAGCTTAGAAATTACATTACTGCTAAGGTGTCTGTGAATGGAACAACTAGTAGTAGTTAGTCACATTCACATTCCATAATGCTGAAGAAGATTCATAGCTTATCCATGAATGTCGGGAACATACCCTAACATTTGAATTCACATGAGTAGCACAAACATCTTCATTCAAGCACCATGGAATGTGTAGGTGCGACCAATCATCGAGCGTCAGTGCTCTCATGTGGGAAAAGGGGAGCGAGTTATAGATACCCCATACCTTTAAGTAACAAGTATTTCTCTTTGATCCCAGTGGCCAAACACTCTGGTGGGGGAACGTAGAGAAGGTGAATATGTGCGGCTGGGGAGGGTGGCAGTTAAGTAAACCCATTTGCATGCTCCACCCTTTACTGATGCAAAATCCACTGCAATCCTCCAGATGACCAAACCTGGAATGTGTAGATGTTAAAGTGACATTCCCAATGCTGGTGTAGGGACTTACCTTAAATGATGCTTCTTAATCCGATCATCTACTTCATTAGTGTAGTTTTCAGCTGTCCCTCCAACACTGGTGCGGGTCTCTGATCCAGCGCTGACATCTCTGTCCTCCTCTTCTCTCATGTCCCACGGAGTCTGTGTGGGTGCACGCTGCTCCATAGACTTACCTTGTGTCTCTCCTCGTCTCCCGGCCAAACATCTGAAGTGCGCATGCGCCCGCCCCAAGATCCTTTGCGGCCGCTCGAGACTCTTCAGATGTTCGGACGGGAGCGCGCAGGCGAAAACACAGGTAAATTTAAACCTATTTGACATGTTTTATTTTTTTACGTTTTTGTATATATCTACTGCTTGCTAGCAATAGATCTATGCAAAAACACGCTGAGGGTTAAAAAACCCTTTAATTGTCTAAGTATAGGATGGGAGGTGTGAACGTTGTGGAACAACCTTGTTCTAGATTCCTAAAGTCCAACCTTGGTGTCAGGTAGTCGTCCTTGGTGTTAATCCTTCAGTTTACACGGCTGAAGGTGATTGTTGTCAAATCGCTGGAGTAGGCTCCCAACCCTGTACAGGGATGGTTGTTCCAGTTTGACCAAGATGGCTTGGTTCACATCTCTTGCCTATCCCTGTCGAAAATGTGCACTCTCTGCCCTCAAAAGAATGTCCCTTTTCCTTAAGGTATAGATAAACTACTGAGTCCTAACCTGTAGAATGTTGGGCCCTTCTTTATTCCCAAGGTTTAGCCTTGGAGCCAACTGGCAGGCTTATGGGGTACTTTACCTAACTCTGACAGCTTGCTGCCCAGAGAATGCATTTAACTCTGGCTAACCTCTAATTTGTATGGGGAGATTCATACTGGATTGTAGAACATCTCACCACCATCAAACACTCACCTGAATACTTCCTTCTGTGGCGAGGACTTCAGCAACTGGCACAGACTGAATAAACTGCATAAATCCTGTTGGAGAGATTGCAGACCATGTTAAGGACAAATTCCAGTACATACACGCATATATTTCAAGTAGTTATTGGCCATCCTATTGGCAAATCTCTTCTTTTACAGAGCCCCACAAATAGCTACTTTAAACTGAAATGTACAGCACTTTTCTCTCCCTCATAACTCCACTAGCTAAAACAGATCTGTGTTCCTGTTGAAGGACCATGCAAGGAGCTGCAGAATCATTGTGTATTGCTCCAGCTCCTCACCTTCTCAAATTTTAGCGGTTAAGTAAATTATATATCGTGCTCAGATGGAGGAAATTCATTCAATTATTATTTTGTGGAGACAAACAATGTTTTTTTTATTCCCTAAATAGTAATACAAGTTTTAGTCTGTATGGGACTTTGTTTTGCCATTCCCTGCTTTAGAAATATGTGAAGATCTAGTTGGATTGGACCTGAGTGCTTTCAATAACTGCTTTGCTACCTGGACTATCAATTCTTGATCCTGACTCTTAAAGTGGAACTATAGGCAAGATTAACATACAAGATGCAGTCTGTCAATAGCATTAAACACAGCAGTGTTTTTTGAGTCCCTCTTGTTAGGGGTCATTTATCTCCGTTATACTCAGCAATGTTTCTCAATGCTGTGGCCTCTTCATAAAATGAAAGTCTGCAGCACTGAGCTTAGCACAGAGAGAATGATCGGAAAAGAAATGGTCAGGCAACCGGGCTCTCCGCCTCGCCATTATTTAATTACTTGTTGATACTGCCAGTTGAGCTGTAATTTGTCTACTTACTGTAACAGGTTCTACCAAAGTGCTGCTTGGAGGGGTTGGGAGAAACCATATTACACTTCTTGCAAAGGTCAGCTTTAAAATAAAGGTTTAGCTGAAGGTGGGCCTTAATTTACCTTTTACTCAAAGCACAGCTTGGCCTAGCAAATCTCAGCCAATGACTTGGCCTACATAATCTCAACCAATGACCTGGTCTAACTAATCCCACCCAATGACTTACCCAAAGGAATCTTAACCAATGATTTTTCACTATTGAATCTCAGCCAATGACCTGGCCTGACAAATCTCAGGCAATGACTTGGCCAAGAGAATCCCAGCTAATAATATAGCTTAGGAAAGCCCAGTCAATGACGTGGCCTAGCATATCTCAACCAATGACTTGGCTTAAAGAATTCCAGCCAATGACGTAGCTTATGAAAGCTCAGCCAATGACTTGGCCCAAACAATCTCAGCCAATGGCTTGGCCTAAACAATCTCAGCCAATGGCTTGGCCTAACCAATCTCAGCCAATGGCTTGGCCTAAACAATCTCAGCCAATGACTTGGCCTAAACAAGCCAATGACTTGGCCTAAACAAGCCAACGACTTGGCCTAAACAAGCCAATGACTTGGCCTAAACAAGCCAATGACTTGGCCTAAACAAGCCAATGACTTGGCCTAAACAAGCCAACGACTTGGCCTAAACAAGCCAACGACTTGGCCTAAACTAAGCCAATGACTTGGCCTAAACAAGCCAATGACTTGGCCTAAACAAGACAATGACTTGGCCTAAACAAGCCAATGGCTTGGTTTACTGTAGCCAACACAGCAGATTTGCTCTTTGCTAGAAGAAGGGAAGAGTTCCTGTTTGAACTGAGAAAGCATTTGTTTAGACCAGAGTTCTTAAATACACAAGAAACTGGCAATTCCTAAATCTATTTTTAAAATCAGCCACCATTCACTTTCCTAATGTTTTGCTCAATCCATTAAATGGTTTTAGCATTTTCTTTTTTCAAATATTTCTCAGAGAACAGCTGCTCCCGAACGAAGAAGGAGAACAAACATCCATTTGGAGCGCCCCCTCCTTCTCTAGAGCCAGGAAAGGCTCATTTTGTCTGAGAATTCCATTAAGGAACACTATAACCACAATAACCGCTCTTAGCACAACAAAAGAACTATTAAAAAGTCCTCATAAAGAGCACTTCAATTATATGTACAGATCTTGGTGAAAACCCCGGCTGCTCTATTTAGAAGACAGAAGGCTGAAGAACAGAACACTTGAAAGGAGCACTAAGTATTAAACCGCCAATGCTGGACACAGCCAGGCAGAGTGCCTTTTAGATTTGATTTGTCAGATCAAACACATTAACAGCTATATAGTGTGAGGGAAAACTTAATTAATTCATTTATATCTGGCATGTCAATATCAAAGAAAAAGGTGGGCTGAACTGAGTGGAATTTATCTTTAGCATGTTGCTGCCAGCCGTACACATATATGTGGTAGCGTACGTGGCAGTGGCGTAAGTGGTTAACGGCGTGCTGCCACCACATATATTTGTACAGCCAACAACGCTGTTTGGTACTGACAGTGCTATCACTCAGCTGTCGGTCACTGTTTACAATCGGGAGCTGGTAGGATAGGCACCTGGTCGTGTGACCACTGACAGCCAACCACAGTGTATCCAAACCTCTGTTTTGAACCTTAGTGTGAGACAAGTTTTTTTTTCCATGCTAGCTTGTGAGTGTGCCAGGAAAACCTTTTGCTGTTTTAGCCAACCACCGTGATCACATGATCAGGAAGCCCTGGATAGGTCTCCGACGTTAAGAACCCCTTCAAGGGCAAATTACAGGAGTCAGCGGTAAGGTGTTAAAGAGCTACATTATGAGAGCCACGACTACTTAAAGGGTAATTCCACTTTCCAGGTGAGTTTGGGAAAATGGAATTGCCCTCTCCAATCAGGCCCTCCCCGTCTAGAGTACAAGTCCCATGAGGCATTGCAAGACTGACACTTATAGGCAGAGGCATGTTGAAATTTGTAGTTAAATCACAGCTGGAAGGCTGAAGTTGCCCACCCTGGCCTAAGAGGAACCCAGCGCCCTAAGTTCACTTCCATGTTCTCCCTGCATATCCAGTCCAATGAGGTCGGGACACAGCACTCAAAAAGTCAGGCCCGGGATGATTGTGCCGGACAAGCTCTAGCAGGAATGGAGAGTAGAGAACAGTCTCGATTGAAGAGAAAAGTTTTTACACAGCAATGCTGAAGACCATCCTTTTAAGACACTAGCAAAGAACTGAGGCATGCTGGGAGTAGGGAGGGTTAACCTGGGCTAATCTACTGCTTCCTGTGTCCCTCAATGGACAATATTTCTTGCCATAGTTGTTGTCTGAGGAGCTGGTGTGCAACTTAAGCCACCCAGACCTGAAACATCAGTATCAAGTAAGCTGGACTTAAAGGAGAACTATGAGGTCAGGGCTTTTCCCCATAGTTCTCCTAAGGGTAACAGAAGGACACAAACTAGCGTCCTCCCGTCACCCAAAGCTCAGTATACCGCGAGCTACAGCTCCCGGTATACTGAGACGCCGCAGCCGGAACGGATCCCGACAATTCTGTCTGGATCCACACAGCTGCGTGAGTGACAGCTGGCTCTGCCTATCTAGAAGCAGAGCCAGTTGTACCCTCCCCCGTCCGTTCCGCCAGTCAGCGCTGGAGGATCGGACAGGGGAGGGATCCCTGCAGGGAGCTGTTACAGTCACGGCTCTCTGCACGGTTAGATCGAGAAATGAGCGAGCGGCGGTATGTGTTCGCTCACTTCCCGATCTACTGAGCCGACCTGTGACAGTTTCATTGTCACTGGTCGCCTCAGATTATAAAAATCCCTCGCCTCATAATTCTCCTTTAATTCATTCCAGGTGATGGCGGTCGTTTATGCTGAAGGATTTCAGGAGCATTTACCGTGTTTTGTGCTCGTTGCCAGAACTTTGTAAGGAGTTAACTTGAGATCAAGATTTTCTTTCCATAGCAGCTGCAAGACAAAGTTGAATTCACTGAGAAGTGCGTACAATTACATCGATGTGCGTACACAATATAGAATAGGACTCAGATAGGAATTAACCACTTGCTGTCTGGAGCATTTTCTTACTATTTGCGCACACATGATAAAATATAATTTTTGGGCTAGAAAACAGCTTCAGACCCCCAAACAATTTGCTAGTTGCAATTCTTTATGTTGCACAGTTTTTGCACAAATGTTTATCAAACCAGTATTTTTAAGAGAAAATAAACTAAATTAAAATTTAGTGCACAGAAACAGAATATAATACCCAATTTTTCGGTAAAAACTATAAAAGACGGGGTCACGCCGGGAAAATAGACACCAAACATGTCTAGCCTGCAAAAAACAACAATACCCAAAATTTCCCATAGGTAACTCTTTAAACGCTTTTACCGCTCATCAGTTTAGTGATAACAGTCATTGATGGCCCTAGAATTATTGCTCTCACTCCGACGTTCGTGGCGATATGTAACATGTGTAGCGCAATTGTCGTTTTTGCACGTAGGCGCAACGACGCATGTTTGCGTGAGTATGTGCATGCACATGGAGGGCGGGGGACCCGCCTCCCATGTATTTTGCATCTGTCTATTTTTCTTATACATTTAATTTTTTACATTTTTAAACACTTTTTTTTTCTTACACTAACTCTATCGCTATCATATAGGGGGCTAACAAGCCGCCTGTGTAATAGCATACAGGGTGTGACAGGTCCTCTTTATGGAGACATCAGAGGTCTTTCAGACCCCTAATGTCACCTAGGGACCCCAAAGAAGCTGAGGAATCATAGATCTGCTCATCCAGTTTCTTCTCCTGGCTCTAAGAGCCGGAGACTGTAACTAGTGACAACCGGAAGTGATGTAATACACATCACTTCCAGGTCCAGTAAGAGGAGGAGAGATCAGATGCTGGAAGCCAGTGAATCTCTCTCCGATCATTGCCGCACGGGGACAGCGGTGCCCGGGGAAGCCAACGGAGGCTGCGGCGGCGTTTGCCGCACGGTACAAGCGATCCGGCGGCTATATAGATCCTGGATCGCTTGTATATAAACAACCATCGCTGGCTGTTAAAAACGACACCAAAAAGACGGCTGCTGCAGCCGTGTTCTTGTTTTAACCACTTCTGCGGGCCGCTGTCTACAGATGTATTGCGGCCCGGAAGTGGTTAAAGTGTATGTATTCAGAGGTATCCCATTGCACTTCCAACCAACGTATCTTAATGTGCAGCCTTAATGGGCTCTGAAACAGCCAACGGATGGCGCCGTAAGACAAAAGGAGATAATGAGGTCACCAGCACACGAAGGTCCACTTCATTGATCCGTCTTTTATTGACGTTTAGATAAACACGGCGGCACAAGCAAATGCAACGTTTCAGAACATCATGAACTTCATCAAGCAAAACATCGCACATTGTTTTGCCTGATGAAGTGACGCAAAAAAGGTATGTCTTTTATTGAGGTTTAAACACGGCGTCACAAGCAAATGCAACGTTACACATTATTTTGCCTGATGAAGGGACTGCATGTGGTTCCAAGACGTTGCATTTGCTTGCGACGCCGTGTTTATCTAAACGTCAATAAAAGACGGACCAATGAAGTGGACCTTGGTCCAAAAGCAAATGCAGCGTTCCAGAACTTCATGTGGTCACTTCGCAAACCCCAACAATGGACTTCTCTTATTTGGACCCTATTTGGGCCCTTCATCAGGCAAACCAATGTGAAATGTTTTGCTTGATGGAGGGGACCACATGATGTTCCAAAACGTTGCATTTGCTTGAGACACCATTTTATCTAAACGGCAATAAAAGACGGACCGATAAAGTGGACCTTGGCCCAAAAAGCAAATGCAGTGTTCCAGAACTTCATGTGGTCACTTCGCAAACCCCAACAATGGACTTCTCTTATTTGGACCCTTTTGGTCTATTAAAAAGTGCCATTGAAAGTGTTTACATATTTTTTGTATATCCATTAGATAACTTCCTGTGCTCTCTCCCTGTGCTGGCCGATATCACTTACTTAGCTATCTCTGAGGACTAGCAAACCTGGGCCATCTAAGATTCCAAAAAGAGGAAAGGGGCGGGGTTCTATAGTCCTTTTCTGTGGCCCTGACACAGTATGGTGAGTGAGCGTTGTCACCCTAAGACAAGGGTATTACTGGCAGGATCTCCAGGCAAGAATAAAAAGGAAATACAAAACGAATGCAGCCGCCACATCTTAGCACTAGTAAGCTGCAATATATAAAATATGTGTATTTGGGTTTGGATACACTTTGAAGCAGAACTAAACTGCTTAGGAACGCTGGGGCCCCCAGGAACGTTTGCCATATGCAAGTTTGCTGAGCATAATTGCCTATTATAGCACACTTACCTTGTGAATTCCCTCCTCCAGTGGTGGGGCACCTGCGGCTCCCCTTGTTAGGGGCACTTTCATCTTCTTCCGGGTTTGAATTTTTCAGGCATCTTGATTGGCCAGGCCATGATTTTTTTTTGGCAAACCCAAAAAGCAGGCAGCCATCACATGTTGGGGGCAAAAAAAAATCCCCTTCATCAGGGCTTAAACACAGGAACTAAAGCTCCTGAACAATCAAATCTATGACAGGAGATATGAAGGAATACAACTAGTGAGTGTTTTGTGCCAGTGTCAGCAGCACATGTATATAGCCAGGATAGGCAAGCTTGGCACTCCATATTTGGTGGAACTACAAATCCCACCATGCATCTGCCTCTAGAAGCCATGCCTATCAGACTCTTGCAATGCCTCGCGGGACTTGTAGTACTTGTAAGTTCCACAACAGTTGGAGGGCCAAGATTGCCTACGTCTGGTATATAGTATATAACAGGGGTAGCCAAACTTTGGCCTTCCAGCTGTAATAAGAATACAAATCCCGTCATGCATCTGCCTCTGGAAGCCATGCCTGTGGCCGTCAAGAGTCTTGCAACGCCTAATGGGACTTGTAGTACCATAACAGCTGGAGGGCTGTTGTTTGGCTACCCCTGTTATATACTTGTGGAGAAAGGAGCACCAGCACAGCAACAGCCTGTGTACTGCCCCTTCCCTCCCCTCTCATGCCGGCTCCTCCCGGGACCTTTGTAAGTGTTGGTGGGAAGGCTGCATGCTCTCTTCCTCGATGAATGGTTGACTGGAGGCTGCGCTGAGGCCGGTCTCTGTCTGTGGATTCAAAAGGATACGGACTTAACCCTGCCTGTTCTGCTCCACTGCTGCTGTGAGGCCTGCTGGGATCTGTTGTTCTACCCTTACTGGATGTACTCACACGGTGCCTTGTTACCTGTTGGATTACCTCTTGCTGCACCTCTGACCCCTGGACTACTAGCCTTGTGACTCTGGATCTACTCCTTACTTGGCCCGTTGCCTACCTTCTGGATGGACCCTCCCCGTGGCCTGCAACCCCCCAGGACCTAACCCCGGCCTTTGTACCTTGCTTTGTACACCTGAATTCCCCAATAAACACCCCGCACGCCGGGTTCCGTGTGATTTGCCTCTGTGTATTCTCTCTGCGCTCCTAGTTCGTCACAATACTATATACCAGACATAGGCAACCTTGGCACTCCCGCTGTCATGGAGCTAAAGGTCCCATGAGGCATTTGCAAGAGTCTGACAGCCATAGGCATGACTCCCAGAGGTAGATGCATTATGGGATTTGTAGTGTCATTACCGCTGGAAGGCAGATGTTTGGCTACCCCTGGCAAATAACACATACTGTACTTACCATATACTATAGCGAAATTTTGCTGCTGACACTGACACCAAATACTCACTAGCTGTATTTCTTCATTTCTCTTACCTGAACTCAGGGAGGTGGACTTTGGCATTTTTGTCTTGGGTGACTTTTGTGGAATCGATAAAAGACTTTGGACTCCTAAGATGCGGTTTGGATCTCCAATCGGTTCTATCACACAGCGTACAGAAAGGACAGCTGCTGTGCACCGGCCCCAGGGTTACCATCTTCTGGCAAAAGGGCAACTGAATAAAATGAGAGGACGTTTTGGGAAATGGTTAAACCGGAGGGCACACTAGAGCCGGGTATGCACTTTGAATTTCAATTCATGGGTGCTATCAGCACCTTTCTGACCGGCCATCCCTCAATCAGCTGATCGAAGGAGCATGTCGGAAAGTTGTTGGACGAACAGAGTTAGCAGCCAATTAGCTGCTGGCTCTGTCCGGGTATTTTGACAGTGGCCGCTGTCAGAATACAAAGGCAACAGCAGCAGATTCCTCGATCAATGCTCCTAAGCTCGTAAGGAATGTTCTATTTTCTTTGCTCAGCCGGCAGATTGAACGAAGAAAATAGAAGCACATATGCCCGACTTAAAAAAGAACTAAGGGAGTAAGTGTTTTTCCCCATAGTTCTCCTAAGGATCACGGGAGGACATATACTAGCGTCCTCACGTGACCCAAGGCTCACTATATCGCGAGCTACGATATACTGAGACCGTCGCAGCCATGACGGATCCCACTTTCCGATCTATTGATCCGACGTGCGACAGCTTCATTGTCACATGTCGGCTCGAACTATGAGGATGAGTGATTTTCCCTCGCCTCATAGTTCTCCTTTAAGAGAGCAAAGGAGTCTCCCTCCTCCTTCAGTATTCCAACAATGGACAATCTGCAGGAAAAAAGACAGACCCTGCAATAATGCTCCCAACAGGTGGGCTTAGACGCAGAGATCTCGCCGTTGGCATTCTGATGGAGCAGCCGGTTCGTGTCAGACGTAAGTGAGCGATCGAAGGGATGAATTGATTGCAGGACTTGTGATGTAGTAAGGCAATTAAAACCTCATCTGCTAATGGTGGTGGGAGACCAATAACCTCCATCGTCTGGGTGTTAATTGTGTTTTTTTTTTCTTCTTGCACAGATAAATACAAACAGTTTGTTTTCCGCTCCGTGTAAGTAACAGCTCTGTGACAGCGGAGATTAATTCAGATCTCAGGGGTTGCAGCACCTCTCTCTATCACACACTGTACGGGAACACACAGTTATTAAGACAAGGGGGAATAAAGGGAGCCAATGGGGATTTGTTTTCTATTTAACCCCTTAATAACCAGTGACATCCATAGTACGTCACTGGCACCGGGCCTGTTTAAAAACAATCCCGGTGGCAAAGTTTAAACTTGTAAAGACGACTGTCGGCTTAACAGTAGAAGCGATTCCGGGGTGCTCAGCCATATCGCTTCTACGGGCTGGTAAACAGGGCTCCCCGACATCCCCGCCACGCTTTGACGGGCTGCCCCCCCTACGGGCCCGGCTTCTCTGGTGTCAGGGGTAAGATTGGGAGCAGATCGGCGAACCTCTGTTCACCGATCCCATCCCCGTACTATGGGATGCAGATGACATCACTTCCTGTCCCTTAGTTGTCATTGCTCTGCTCCTGAAGCCCAGCAATAAGCTATTGAAGTGCGATCTGGACTTAAGTTGCTTATTTCAAGTGTAAAGGTGACTCAGGGGTCTTTTGGACCCCCAGCATCACCTTAAAGAGTACCTGTCACTGCCAATATGCTATCACATGGGGGGCTTGTAAGCCCCCCTATGTGATAACAACTAAGGTAAAGTAAAAAAAAAAAACAGTTTTTAAAATTAATCATAAAATAAATGTAAAAATAATAAAAACAACATTTTTCAAGTCCCCCACTAGCAGGCGCGTCGTCAGGTAAACAAGCGTTGGGTGCGCCTACGTATGAAAACGACAATCACGTTGCACATGTTGGATATCACTGCGCACGCCGGAGTGAGAGCAATAATTCTAGGGCCAATATTTATGTGCATCTCTAAACTGATGACCTGTGGGGGCTTTTAAAGAGTCGTCTATGGACTTTTTGGGGTACTGAATTTTGCTGCCATTTCACGGACGCACACACTTTTTAACCTGGGCATGTTGGATATCTATTTACGCGTCGCTACCTCATCTTTTATATGTTATTAAAAAATTGGGTATTTTATTGTGTTGTGGGTCAGTGAAGTGCATTTATCATTAACACTTGGGGTTTGATAAAGAGTTGCACTAATACCGTGCAACATAAAAATTTGCAACTGCCAACATTTTATTCTACAGGGTCTTGGCTTTCAGAAAACATATAATGTTTGGAGGAGCTTTAAGTAACTTTCAGGTCTAAAATGTGGATTATCACATGTACACAATTTGTTTTTTTTTTTAAAAGGCCTCAGTCAAGAAAGGGTTAATTAGGAGTTATCATAGTCATTCTTGCTCCACAATTTAGTAAGTCACTGAACCAGAACAAAGCACGTGGCGCTGCTCTCCAAAACTCACAGGCAAAATGAATGCACGGTGATAAATAAGAAATGATCGGGACACTAACCAATGGCAATAGGACTATCGTGCAAAAAAATGTGCCAGGAAAGCTTTGCCGGTCACTTACAATGCATCACATTATCTCGTGCTGAAATCTTGGCACCGATATCACATGATGCCATTAAATCAGAGATATGTCCCTTTAACCGTCTTCCATTTTCACATTGTATAGAACTTTAACAAAAGGATAAATCCTTATGGTACCTTATCCATCAAGGAAATGATCTGCAGAATAAGCTGATCCTGGCGGAGGTCATCTCCGTGTTTGAATATAACCGGATATTTCCCTCCATCTTCAGTTTTGAAGTACAGCTTGGCTGGCATGAGGGCGCTCTGCAGACGGGGAAACAAGACTCATTAAAGGGGAACTGTAAAGGTTTAAAGAAGAACGTTAATGATTTTAACTAGGGTTGCGCCTATACCGGTTTTTCTGTATTGAGTACCGATATTTTTTTTCCGGTACTCGGCGATACCGAATACCGAGTACTGGTTCTGTGTGCCAGGAAGTGTATCAGGAAGTCAGGAGGCGGATCATAACCTGTCGTCCGGCTTCCTGATTGCCTGTGAAGCCGGTGTTCTAGTGAAAGAACACCGGCTTCACTTGCCGAGGCAGCCTGGCTTCCTGACCAATCAGGAAGCCGGGCGGTGAGCCATGAGGTGCCGTCCGTCTTTCTGATTGGTCAGGAAGCCAGGCTGCCTAGCAACAAGTGAAGCCGGCTTCCTAGCCAATCAGGAAGCCGGGTGGCACATCATGATCCGCCTCCAGGCTTCCTGATTGGCTAGGAAGCCCGATTGACTTGTAGCTAGGCAGCGTGGCTTCCTGACCAATCAGGAAGCGAGTCATGACGTGCCGCCCGGCTTCCTGATTGGTTAGGAAGCCAGGCTGCCTAGCAACAAGTGAAGCCGGCTTCCTAGCCAATCAGGAAGCCGGGCGGCAACCCATCGCCCGACATCCTGATTGAAAAGGAAGCCGGCTTCAAGCTCCCTCTGCATTGCGGAAGTTCTGGTATCGGAGGTAAATATCGTAGCATTCGTACAAATACTCGGTATTGGCACAGATAGCGATACTAGTATCGGTATTGGCGCATCCCTAGTTTTAACCCTTGCAGTGCAGGGGTAGCCATGAACTGCTCAATTTTGTCTAAGTTCAAAAATAACAAAGTTATACTCATTCGATCCATCGAGCTGGCTCATTCTTAGACTGGTCCGACCTCCCTCCCCCTCTGCTGCAGCGGTCTAAGCTCCTTGGGTCATCATGTTCTATACACAGTGCATAAGGCGTAAGGACACTGAGGGACATACCATTGCTGCAGCAGAGGAGAAGACAGGCTGGAGGGAGCTGGCCAGCTCAGAGTATCGGCTGAATATAACTTTGTTATTTTTGAACCTAGACAAAAACGAGCACTTAACTCTTGCAATGCGGGTATAGCCCCACTACAAGGGGAAATAAATTGTTACCTGGAGTTGTTGTTTAAATTTCACAAATTTTACACACATTTTTTGTATATAAAAGGTTTATATACAAATATTTATTAGAAGCTTTCGGCCAGAACACCGGAATCACAGAGCACCAGGGGTTTCCTAAAAAGACAGCACGGCATATGCCGTTTCCCTACCGGCACTCTCTCTTTCTCTCATTTAAACGGCTGCTTTTCCACAAGCAGGAAGGGGGAGGAATCACTTCTATGAATCACTCAGTCCTGGCTGTAATATCAGTTTGAACTATTGAGCTCTGTAAACAATCTTTTTTCAGTACAAAAGAGAAGAATTGTCTAAAAAAACATGTAAAAAGAATCCCGGTATTACATCGGTGGTCCTAAAATGAAAACATCAAATATTTACCTGACTAAAATAAATAAATTAATTAATAGATTGTATTTTTTAGTCCTGAGTATGATGGAGAAAAATTGAACAAAGGACCGTTATAAAACATCATGTATATAACAATGAGAAAAAAGAAAGGGAGATACATAATGAAAAAAGAAAAACAAAATACAAATATACAAAAAAAAATGTAGATAAAAGCTGACGAAGTATACAAGAAGAGAAAGAGAGATGCAAAAATAACACATAAGACACAATCAGTTCTTGACCTTGGGCGTAGGAGATACGTCCTAAAAACTTTATTATAATATGGACAAAAATATAAAAAAAGAGATCTAAAAAAAGGTCCTAGGACGTATCTCGTACAACCTGTTTTTCTTGCTCTGCTGCAGATATCTGAATGCAATAGCCATCAAATCTCGGTTGTGTGCACAGCCTGGGACTAGGCTCCATAGAACATGGGTAAATCTGAAGACTAACCTAGGTACATGTAAGCTTTGAAAGTACTCAGCATTGCTGGTGCCTTAGGCAGTTCTAGGCCACATCAGGTTCATCTTAGCAGAAGGAAAGAACTAGGTACCCTCCAGGCCAAGATAGAAAACAAACATCCCGGCCTGGTAGGCTGTACCACCTCTATGTATTTAAAACCAATGTCTGGGGTACCATATAAGTGTCTGTGTGTACTAGGAGGTGAGTGATTTATACTCATCCTCATAGTCAGACCTGACGTGTGACATGCAAACTGTCACAGGTCGGCTCTATCGATCAGGAAGTGAGCGAACACATACCGTCGCTCGCTCACTTCCTGATCATCCCCCTGCAGAGAGTGGTGACCGTCATTTACTGCTCCCCGCAGGGATTCCCCCCTCTCCTCTCCTCCAGCGCTGAGCGGAGGAACAAACGGGGGCGGGCACTGTAGATAGGCAGAGCCCGCTGTCAATCAGCCAGTAGGGAGGATCTCGGCGGTATTGCCGGGATCCGTTCCAGCTGCGGCGCTCTCAGTATATAGTGGGCAATAGCCTGCTATATACTGAGCTTTGGGTCACAGAAGGAGGTTAGTATATGAGCCCCCGTTGCCCTAAAGAGAACTATGAGATAAAAATATCTGTAAAAATAAGTCAAGGTAACTGGACTTGCTGTATTTTTCTCAAAGACGTTTCACTGGTCATCCAACCAGCTTTCTCAATTCAGAATGACTTGTACAATTATCTGGGAATAAATATGGTGAATGTCGCTCCAATCCACATAATCGGTTAGTCACAACCAGGTGTTGATTGCATTTGCATAATTGGAGTCTAGGAGGTGTTAATGGCCTGCCCAGAGAGAGGTGTTAAAACCGCATTGTATGTGGCAGACAATAGCTGTCTCACCCTTTGACGACAGTTAAGTACGCATCCTAGACAGGGAGGAGGACTGGTTCAATAGAGGTGTGAAAGAGGCCATTTATGTAAAAATGGAGAAGCCAAGCTTGAATGGAGGAGGTGGTGGTGGTGGGAGACATCTATTGTCTACCACATACATTTGTACAAGTCATTCTGAATTGAGAAAGCTGGTTGGATGACCAGTGAAACATCTTCAAGAAAAATACAGCAAGTCCAGTTGCCTTGACCTATTTTTTTTTCAGATATACCGTGTGACCTGGATGAATGAGAACCTTCACAGATATATGGGATAAAAAGGTTACCCCCATAGTCCTATTGTAACTTAACATGCCGCCTGTTGCCAATTCTTCCGATGTAGTACGTTGTTTGACAACTACACCTTTCCCTTATCAATCACATACACTATCTTTGTGTGCTATCTATACAATGGGTATAGGAAAGAATGAGACGATTTCATAATAACTTGTAAAAGTCAAGAAGGATGTAAAGTTTTCATCAAAGGTATGGAGTGCGCACCTTGAAGAGTGTGGCTTTCTCTGGAATGATGCCTCTGATCTTCACCTGGGGCTCAAGCGGTAGCGGGATCGGTTCAATATCTGCAAGATTCATCTTTTCATTGTCCGCCAGCAAAGCCTGGAGCCTTTCATTCTGTGAACGGCGACACACAACGATCCATTACATGGCCAGAGGCAGGAAACACAGTGACTACCATCAGCTGAACTGGAACCTATAACTGCACTGGGCCTAACAGATACATGATCTAAAGGCATAGGCACCCAACTATGAAATGTCTACTCGTCTCTTTGAATGAAGCAGAGGACAACAACGGACATCTTGAAAAAATATGATTTCCTTTTAATAACAAAATAAAACAAAAACACAGTTGCAAATACGTTTATACAGTCCAGACATGTTCACTGAAAGGTATTTTTTGTGTTCTCTACCTCTTAACACATGCACTTCCTTTCTGGCTTTTCTTATGCTCTGCTTAAAGTGGCATTCTAGAAAACCTGGATACTAAGGTGTCCATTTATAAACAATTCACAGAGCCATTTGCAGAAATATAATGTCATCAGTCTGGTACTGCTCCATCACTATTCAGTCACAGGTTGGGGGCACGGAGGTGACCTAGTCTGTTTCTTAACTGCAGCATGGAAAATTCAGGTCACTTTGTTGTACTGGGTGAGGTGGGGTTGGGTGAGGAGAGATGGGGTTGGGTGAGGAGAGATGGGGTTGGGTGAGGTGAGGTTGGGTGAGGTGAGTTGGGGTTGGGTGAGGTTGAGTGAGGTGAGGTGGGGTTGGGTGAGGAGAGATGGAGTTGGGTGAGGTGAGGTTGGGTGAGGTGAGGTGGGGTTGGGTGAGGTGGGGTTGGGTGGAGTTTTCAGGGATGTGCTATGGAGGAGCAGTGGCCAGGGAGGGATTTGCTGGATTTGGCGGGTAAAGTCGGCACAATGAATTGTGAGGAGGGGGGTATGATGTGACCATGAATGGGTGCACTGTGGGAGGGGGGTGTGAGGTGGACAGTGAGTAATGTGTTGTCAACAGGGGGTGAGGTGGATGGGAAGTGATGCATTGTGAGCAGGGGGGGTAATGTGGCCTAGAATGATAGAAGGGATGCATCGTGCGCAGTGGAAGGTTAGTCACATGGTCAGGGTTGATATGAGTTGGCAGCAGGTGGTAAGGTAGCCAGGAGGACATCTGCTGAGGAGGAAAGGAGATGTGCCAGGGAGGATGGCATGGCAGCAGAGGAGAGACAGCCGGGATGGGCCACTTGGAAGTAAAAACTGGAAACACACCAGCAATCTCTGTGTTTTCAACTCATGGGTTTGTTTACGGCCACATTCCCCCGGATTACTTTTAACACCATAAGATTTTAGATTTTACATTGTGAATGAACTAATATTTATGCTCAATCTTCATGTGTAGAGATCAGATGAATTCTAATTGGATTGGACAGCAGAGACATTCTTCTATTAGGTCTAATGGTAATGCGGCAGACGTTAAGCCATAAAGCCCCCGCAATGCAGAAAGAAGAGGCGGCGGAGGACCGCCACAGACGGACAGCAGAGCAGTCTCTTACCTTTTTTTTCCTGTTTCCACTTTCACGCTGCACTGCCTTCATGAGATGAACCAGTCTATCTACAAAGGTCTGCTGTGTCGCCAGCAGCGAACGCATCACTCGCACAGACTTATCGCCCTGAGCCAGAGAACAGAAAGCAGGAATGAGGTCTTTACGCTTATTACTCAGTGTACACATAATCTGCTTGTTGGGAAACGATAGATCTGTTCCCCTTCAAGAGCCGGCACTGTGCTCCGAGCAGAAGACACAGAGCAGCATGGGCAGCCGACAATATTTTATTAATGGCATTATCAGCGCAGAGCAGGCAGCTAAGCTAGAACACCGCATTAGTGACACTGTACGGACTTTTCCTCAATTCTCAGCTTTTCTACTCAGATAACCTGCAATGGTTTAAAGCAGTGGTTCTCAACCTGTGTAATCTCCGGACCCACATTTGTCCTTGGCCAGTAAGTCGTAACATGGTAATGACTGTGAGGGAGCTCCAACCATAAATGCATTGCTCGTACAACTCCCCTGTGCACTGTCTAGAGGTGCCGGGAGCCAGAATGTGACGTCATTTCAGTCCATCACCTCTATAGGACATGTGAGGGAGCTGTAAGCAATGCATGTGTGGATGGAGCTCCCGCATGTCCATAGCTCCAGCCCACCCCACCTCAAGTCGACGCTTGGTGCCGGGCAGCATATTTTGAATGGCTGCTTGGCCTAAGAACTGACAGTGCTGCACTAGGGGGAGCCTGAGGAGCCTCTCGCCTAGAAAAGTGGAAGGCATGCGGCGACCCACTGAACACGGGGTCGCGACCCACTTTTGGGTCATGACCCACCAGTTGAGAACCAAGGGTTTAAAGTGAACCTGCCCATTGCCCATATACAGTAGTTAAAGCAACAGGTTCACTTTAATGCTGGCCCCTGCAACTGCTTATACTTACTCTCCAGTTGATTCCCTTGTGTTCTGTTCCCATAGGTAAGAATGGCAAACACAGTTTGTCCGGGTATAGGGGAGGAATAGGACTCCCTCCGCTTCCTCCCATGTGACATTGCTAGTGGTTGGTCATGTCCTCATCCCTGTTTGAGTGCCAACTAGAAAGACTTGGAGCTTACACAGTACTTGTTCTCCTCACTACCAGGGGAGAGCAAAGTAGCAGGATAACTAAGGGCTGGTAAGTACTGTACCAGCAACTTCAGATTTCTTTTAACGGAAAACTGCACTGAAGGACATGGAGACTTCAAGTGCCGACTGTTCCTTATGAAATGTTTAGCCATTTGGCTGCCATATTGACCCAAGGGCTTTCTGACTTTTCAGCTGGCAACTGTCTAAAGGGGCATTTCCTTCACTTTGCACAGATTTACTCTCACTTTTTCTTGTGTATTCAGGACAGAAAGTAAAGGGGACCCCCCCTTAAAGGGACATAGGTACAGGCAACTTAGGGAGAATTAACAAGGACTGGCACAGGCATAGAGCCTGAACCACTCTTCTAATCTGAGAAAATGGAGCAGATCCTGCCACAAGCCCCTTTGTTAATTAGGAGTGATCTGCTCCATTTTTAAGCCATTGAATAGAGAGTATGAGATGCTTGTTTCAGCTCTCTCTGCCCTCCCATGCCCCTGCTCCCCCTTGCTTAAAGAGAGAGAGCGAGAAGGAAGGCTA